CAGACACTGAGATCCTGGGTTCAAGCCCTGGGTCTGGGTGTCTCTCTCTCAGGGGGTTCACGATGGCCGTGTCACAGACACTGAAATTCTGGGTTCAAGCCCTGGGTCTGGGTGTCTCTCTCTCTCTCTCTCAGGGGGTTCACAATGGCCGTGTCAGAGACAATGAGATCCTGGGTTCAAGCCCTGGGTCTGGGTGTCTCTCCCTCTCTCTTATGGGGTTCACGATGGCCGTGTCACAGACACTGAGAGTCTGGGTTCAAGCCCTGGGTCTGGGTGTCTCTCTCTCTCAGGGGGTTCACGATGGCCGTGTCAGAGACACTGATAACATGGGTTCAAGCCCTGGGTCTGGGTCTCTCTCAGGGGGTTCACAATGGCCGTGTCACAGACACTGAGATCCTGGGTTCAAGCCCTGGGTCTGGGTGTCTCTTTCTCTCTCAGGGGGTTCACAATGGCCGTGTCACAGACACTGAGATGCTGGGTTCAAGCCCTGGGTCTGGGTGTCTCTCTCTCTCAGGGGGTTCACGATGGCCGTGTCACAGACACTGAAATTCTGGGTTCAAGCCCTGGGTCTGGGTGTCTCTCTCTCTCTCAGGGGGTTCACAATGGCCGTGTCAGAGACAATGAGATCCTGGGTTCAAGCCCTGTGTCTGGGTGTCTCTCTCAAGGGGTTCACGCTGGCCGTGTCACAGACACTGAGAGTCTGGGTACAAGCCCTGGGTCTGGGTGTCTCTCTCTCTCAGGGGGTTCACAATGGCCGTGTCACAAACACTGAGAGTCTGGGTTCAAGCCCTGGGTCTGGGTGTCTCTTTCTCAGGGGGTTCACAATGGCCGTGTCACAGACACTGAGATCCTGGGTTCAAGCCCTGGGTCTGGGTGTATCTCTCTCTCTCAGGGGGTTCACAATGGCCGTGTCACAGACACTGAGAGTCTGGGTTCAAGCCCTGGGTCTGGGTGTCTCTCTCTCTCTCTCATGGGGTTCACGATGGTCGTGTCACAGACACTGAGAGTCTGGGTTCAAGCCCTGGGTCTGGGTGTCTCTCTCTCAGGGGTTTCACGATGGCCGTGTCAGAGACACTGAGATCCTGGGTTCAAGCCCTGGGTCTGGGTGTCTCTCTCTCTCAGGCGGTTCACGATGGCCGTGTCACAGACACTGAGAGTCTGGGTTCAAGCCCTGGGTCTGGGTGTCTCTCTCTCTCAGGGGGTTCACAATGGTCGTGTCACAGACACTGTGTGGGCCTTGCCTAGGGTCACCCGTCAGTGGCAGCTGGGGAGGAGGGGGGGGTAGGGGAATGAAGGTGGCGAGGGGTGTAAAGAGGGAGGTGGGTTTGGACAGGAGGGGTGGGGGGCGAGCATTGGTGGGGGGCGAGCATTGGTGGGGGGGGGACGGAGGGGGGAGTGGAGGGGAGGGGCGTGGGGGAGTGGAGGGGAGTGGGGAGTGGAGGGGAGGGGCGTGGGGGAGTGGAGGGGCGGGGGGTGGGGGAGTGGTGGGGAGGGGCGTGGGGGAGTGGAGGGGAGGGGCGAGTGGAGGGGAGGGGCGAGTGGAGGGGAGGGGCGTGGGGGCGTGGGGGGCTCCGCGAGGAGTAAAAATCCGGTGGTTGCCGTGGCAACGCCGTAGGCGGTGCGGCGAGGCAACGCTCTCCTCGCGAGCGTGACGAGCAGCGCGGCAAGGGCGCGGCGCTCGTGCGCATGCGCGGGAAACCCCCCCGCCCCCCAAACCCCTCCACCTCCACCCACTTCACACCTCCCCCACAGGCTCACAATGGCAGTGGGTGGCGGATGGCAGTGGTGACGATTCGCCGTCTCCCGAACACTGACCCGCTGCTCACTCACTCACCCACTCAGTCACTCACTCAGTCACTCACTCACCCACCCACTCACCCACTCACTCACCCACTCAGTCACTCACCCACTCAGTCACTCACTCACTCAGTCACTCAGTCACTCACTCACCCACTCAGTCACTCACTCACCCACTCAGTCACTCACTCACCCACTCAGTCACTCACTCACCTACTCACTCACTCACTCACCCACATACTCACTCACTCACCTACTCAGTCACTCACTCACTCACCCACTCAGTCACTCACCCACTCAGTCACTCACTCACCCCTTTAGTCACTCACTCACTCACCCCTTTAGTCACTCACTCACCCACTCACTCAGTCACTCACTCACCCACTCACCCAATCAGTCACTCACTCACCCACTCAGTCACTCACCCACTCAGTCACACACTCACCCGCTGCTCACTCACTCACCCACTCACTCACCCACTCACCCACTCAGTCACTCACTCACCCACTCAGTCACTCACTCACCCTCTGCTCACTCACTCACCCACTCACTCACCCACTCACCCACTCACCCACTCACTCACCCACTCACCCACTCAGTCACTCACCCACTCAGTCACTCACCCACTCAGTCACTCAGTCACTCAGTCACTCACTCACTCACCCACACACTCACTCACCCACTCACCCACACACTCACTCACTCACTCACCCACACACTCACTCACTCAACCACTCAGTCACTCACTAACACACCCACTCACTCACTCACCCACTCACTCACCCACTCAGTCACCCACTCACTCACACACTCACTCACTCAGTCACTCACCCACTCAGTCACTCACTCACCCACTCACTCACCCACTCAGTCACTCACTCACCCACTCAGTCACTCACTCACCCGCTGCTCACTTACTCACTCACCCACTCACTCACTCACCCACTCAGTCACTCACTCACTCACCCACACACTCACTCACTCACCCACACACTCACTCACTCACCCACTCAGTGTCCGTGCGTGTGTCCATGAGTGTGTGTCTGAGTGTGTCCGTGAGTGTGTCTGTGTGAGTGTGTCTGTGTGCGTGTGTCCGTGTGTGCGTGTGTGTGGGTCTGTGTGTGTCTGTGTTTGTGTCTGTGTGTCTGTGTGCGTGTGCCATCTGTGCCATCTGTTGAGGAAGTACTGAGGGCGATCCGGAGTCTGAGACCAGGAAAGGCAGCGGGCAGAGATGATCTCCCAAGCGAAATGCTGAGGGAGGGTGGAGTTTGTGCACTGCCCTAAATGACATCATAACAACAGTCTGGACCACTGGACGGGTTCCACAGGATTGGAAGGATGCCCTGGTGGTCCCCCTCTTTAAGAAGGGGGACCGCACAGACTGTAACAACTACAGGGGCATTTCACTCCTCAGTGAGCCGGGAAAGGTCCTGGCAAGGATTATTCAACATCGCCTTGCCAGGCACGCTGAGGAGAGGCTTGCGGAGCCCCAGTGCGGTTTCAGGAAAGGGCGGTCCTGCACAGATGCCATATTTTCTGTCCGTCTGCTACAGCAGAGGTGTAGGGAATTCCAGCAAGACCTACATCTCTGCTTTATTGACCTGGTCAAGGCCTATGATACCATCAATAGGCCTGGGCTCTGGGTTGTTCTTCGTGCTTTTGGAGTACCTGACCCTCTGCTCACGATCATTAAGGACCTTCATGATGGTGAGCGGGCCCGGGTAAAACTACGTGGCCGGGAGTCCGAGCCTTTCCCTGTACACCTTGGGGTGCGACAGGGATGTCCGCTGGCTCCCACATTATTTAACATCTATTTCGACGACGTAGTTCATGAAGCCTTCAATAGCTGTACCGGGGGAATCTCCATATGGTACAGATATAATGGGAGAATGATCGATGCCCGGGTGTGGTCAAGGGATGGCTCCCTATTGCTCAACCACGTTATGTATGCTGATGATTTGGTAATAGCTGCTCATTCAGAGGAGGAGTTGGAGACGCTGCTGCTGAGACTAGAGCATGCCACTAAGAGATGGGGCCTTACCATCAGCCCCACCAAAACTAAGCACCTGCCTGGGTATTTTGTACCATCGGACACTCCACCCCCACAACTCCCAATCGGTGATGGGGCAGTTGTGGAGAGAGTGGAGAGTTTCCCATACCTGGAAAGTGTGCTTATGACCGGCTCCAGTTTAACAGCAGAGGTCTCACTCCGAATCAGTCGAGCGGCAATATCTTTTCATCGGTTGCGTAACGCTGTGTGGAAGCTACCTGGTCTGTCGCTCCGCACTAAGCTTCAGGTCTTCTCGGCCACGGTCATTCCCTCCCTTCTCTATGCTTGCAAAACGTGGACCCCCCTAATGGAACATCTTCGCCGGTTAGAAACATTTAGGCTGGCCTGCCTACGATCCATCCTGGGTTTAACCAGACTGGATTGTGTGAGGAGCTCACAAATCCTTGAAAGTTCTGGGCAAGGTCCCATCGGTGAGCTCCTCCGGCGGGCAAGGCTGCGATGGCTGGGTCATGTAGCCCGCATGCCCAGCCACCGCATGCCGAAACAGCTTTTGTTCGGCCAGATCGAGGGGGCTAAGCGGGCGCGGCACGGGCTAGAGAAGAGATGGAGTGATGTGGTACAGGAGAACGTGGAGCTGAATGGACTTGCCGATGACTGGTACCAGCGGTGTCAAGATCGGTCTCTGTGGAGGAGGCTCGTGAAGGACGCTACTGGGGAGTTGGAGGCAGTCGCCCTCCAACAACAACGGAGGGCGGAGGAGCGACGCTCACAACAACGAGCGGAGCGCCGGGTGGCTAAAGCACAGCAGGTTGGCACAGTAGGGGGCACAGGTGGTGCATCGGCCAGTCATCTCAGTCAGTCGACCTGTGGCACCTGGGTCTGCCCCGTGACCTCCTGCCAGCGGGCGTTCGACACTCCACGTGGCCTCAAGGTGCACAAGTCCTGGCACAAGCGTCGTGGTGACGTCACTGCCACTTAGTGGCGAATGGCGGTTGTTGTTGTTGTTGTTGTGTGTGTGTCTGTTTGCACGTGTCTGTGTGTGCGTGTCTGTGTGTGTGTGTCCGTGTGTGCGTGTGTCTGTGTGTGTGTCTGTGTGTGTGTCTGTGTATCTGCGCGTGTGTCCGTGTGTCTGTGTGTGTGTCTGTGTGTCTGTGTGTGTGTCTTTCCGTGTGCGCGTGCACAGCGCCCTCACCCAGGTGGCTGCCCTCGTCCTTGGTGCCGCCGATGGCGCCTTCGCCGTGAATCTGCAGGTAGTAGCCCTGCCGGCAGTAGAGGCGCGTCACGATGCCCTTCAGCTGGAGCTCTGCGGAGAGACGCGCGCACCCACAAAGGGGTCCCACTTCTAGCAAGAGATGGGGGCAAGTGCTGTTACACCGGCAACACCAGCAGTGATAGCGATTCTCTGAACCGGTCCTGGGCCTCCCCTAGGTTGGCTCAGCCTCAAATGAGCGCCTGGTGCTGTGTGTGGTGTGTAGTGAACATCGCCACTGGGGGGGGAGACAAAGGCGGCCGGGCGTCGTGCTGGTAGCCACCCACCCCCTCGTGTGTACCGCAGTGCCGGTAGCCTTCACAGGTGCTGCTCGTTAACAGCACTTGCCCCTGCAGTCTGTTAGAGGCTACACGGGGGACCTTTGTCTGTGTCTACCTTCACAGGTGCTGCTGCTACTCGCTACTAACAGCAATTGCCCCTGCAGTCTGTTAGAGGCTACACGGGGGACCTTTGTCTGTGTCTACCTTCATAGGTGCTGCTGCTACTCGCTACTAACAGCACTTGCCCCTACAGCCTGTTAGAGGCTACACGAGGGACCTTTGTCTCTTTGGTGGCCGTGAGCTGGGATCGAACTCAGTTGCGATAATTGCCGATGCAAAGACAAAGGTCCCTCGTGTAGTGCACGCAGGCTGTAGGGGCAAGTGCAGTTAGTGAGTAGCAGCAGTGCCTGTGAGGGCTACCGGCACTGTGGTACACACGAGGGGGTGGGTGGGCAGCACCACGCCCGGCCGCCTTTGTCTCCCCCCCCAGTGACGATGTTTACTACGCACCGCACTCACACACTCACACACACACATACACTCACATACACACACACTCACACACACACTCACACACACTCACACACACATACAACAACAACCGCCATTCGCCACTAAGTGGCGGTGACGTCACCACGACGCTTGTGCCAGGCTATGTGCACCCTCAGGCCACGTGAAGTGTCGAACGCCCGCTGGCAGGAGGTCACGGGGCAGACCCAGGTGCCACGGGTCGACTGACTGAGATGACTGGCTGATGCACCACCTGTGCCCCCTACTGTGCCAACCTGCTGTGCTTTAGCCACCCGGCGCTCCGCTCGCTGTTGTGAGCGTCGCTCCTCCGCCCTCCGTTGTTGTTGGAGGGCGACTGCCTCCAACTGCCCAGTAGCATCCTTCACGAGCCTCCTCCACAGAGGCCGATCTTGACACCGCTGGTACCAGTCATCGGCAAGTCCACTCAGCTCCACGTCCTCCTGTACCACATCACTCCATCTCTTCTCTAGCCCATGCCGCGCCCGCTTAGCCCCCTCAATCCGGCCAAACAAAAGCTGTTTCGGCATGCGGTGGCTGGGCATGCGGGCTACATGACCCAGCCATCGCAGCCTTGCCTGCCGGAGGAGCTCACCGATGGGACCCTGCCCAGATCTTTCAAGGATTTGTGAGCTCCTCACACAATCCAGTCTGGTTAAACCCAGGATGGATCGTAGGCACGCCAGCCTAAATGTTTCTAACCGGCGAAGATGTTCCATTAGGGGGGTCCACGTTTCGCAAGCGTAGAGAAGGGAGGGAATGACCGTGGCCGAGAAGACCTGAAGCTTAGTGCGGAGCGACAGACCAGGTAGCTTCCACACAGCGTTACGCAACCGATGAAAAGATATTGCCGCTCGACTGATTCGGAGTGAGACCTCTGCTGTTAAACTGGAGCCAGTCATAAGCACACTGCCCAGGTATGGGAAACTCTCCACTCTCTCCACAACTGCCCCATCACCGATTGGGAGTTGTGGGGTGGAGTGTCCGATGGTACAAAATACCCAGGCAGGTGCTTAGTTTTGGTGGGGCTGATGGTAAGGCCCCACCTCTTAGTGGCACGCTCCAGTCTCAGCAGCAGCGTCTCCAACTCCTCCTCTGACTGAGCAGCTATTACCAAATCATCAGCATACATAACGTGGTTGAGCAATAGGGAGCCATCCCTTGACCGCACCCGGGCATCGATTAGCCTCCCATTATATCTGTACCATATGGAGATTCCCCCGGTACAGCTATTGAAGGCTTCACGAACTACGTGGTCAAAATAGATGTTAAATAATGTGGGAGCCAGAGGACATCCCTGTCGCACCCCAAGGTGTACAGGGAATGGCTCTGACTCCCGGCCACGTAGTTTTACCCGGGCCCGCTCACCATCATGAAGGTCCTTAATGATCGTGAGCAGAGGGTCAGGTACTCCAAAAGCACGAAGAACGACCCAGAGCCCAGGCCTACTGATGGTATCATAGGCCTTGACCAGGTCAATAAAGCAGAGATGTAGGTCTTGTTGGAATTCCCTACACCTCTGCTGTAGCAGACGGACAGAAAATATGGCATCTGTGCAGGACCGCCCTTTCCTGAAACCGCATTGGGGCTCCGCAAGCCTCTCCTCAGCGTGCCTGGCAAGGCGATGCTGAATAATCCTTGCCAGGACCTTTCCCGGTACACTGAGGAGTGAGATGCCCCATCAAAAACACACACACACGTGTACGTACACACACACACATACACACACATACACACATACATACACACACACACGTGTACGTACACTCACACACATACACACACACATACACACACACACATACACATACATACACACACACATACATACACATACATACACACACGTGTACGTACACTCACACACACACGTGTACGTACACTCACACATACACAAAGACAAAGGTCCCCCGTGTAGCTTCTAATAGGCTGCAGGGGCAAGTGCTGTTAGCGAGCAGCACCAATGAAGGCTACTGGCACTGTGGCACACGAGGGAGTGGGTGGCTACCTGCACCACGCCCGGCCGCCTTTGTCTCCCCAGTAGGCGATGTTTACACATCGCACCAGGTACTCAGCTGAGGCCAAGTCGACCTAGGGGAGGCCCAGAACAGGTTCCAATAATCGTCACCGGTGGTGTTAGTGGCCGTGAGCGGGAATCGAACTCGGCACTTTCCACTCCACTTCCGCTCCATCAAAAACAAAAAGTTAACCTAAAACGTTTTGTTTAACACATTCTCCTGCGGAGGGAGGAGCTGGTAGGAACGTTGGGTTGCTCGGTCAATGGCCAGGGTCAACAACGGCGGCACCACGTGGTGGTGCGTTCCGCACAATATGCCCCACTGTGAGGGCGGGCACAAGCCGGCGTGTGTAGGTTAAACATTGAGTTTTATAAGGGCACCACGGGGTGACCAGCCCCTCCCCACCCAGCCCCTCCCCACCCAGCCCCATCCCACCCAGCCCCATCCCTCCCACCCCTCCCACTCCCCACCCAGCCCCTCCCCAAACCCTCCCCTCTCCACCCAGCCCCACCCCTCCCACGTGGACAGACATCCACAGACATACACAACAATTAATCCCGTGCCTGCTGTGAGATTTAATCCTGGTTGGGCTTCCAGTCCACGACGTTTCCTACCAGTACATTTTTTTTTTACCAGGTATGGCCTCACTCCTGAGCTGCTACGTAGCTCTTGTTCACAAGCGACCCCGGCCATCACGAATGACAGCTCACGGGAAGTGGCGGCTCGTCGGCGTCGTTGTCGTCGTCGGCGTCATCGCCGTGGACATTTATAGCGGCAGCCATCAATTACTCTCGGAGGGCGCGGTGACGCTCATTACAAATTTGGAGCGGAAGAACCGGCAGGGTGGCGGTGAAAAGTCCACGCGGCCATGAGGAGAGAGATAGAGAGACGCAGACTCCAAATATACAGCAGCAGCAGGCATAGTCAGGGTCGGGATCGCACCCACGACTTCCTGAGCACCAGGCGAGGTAGTCAACATCTCCTAGCCAAAGAGATGATGATGATGAGAAAGACACAGACTCCAAATACACAGCAGCAGGTCGGGATGGAACCCACGACCTCCTGTAGACCAGGCGAGATAGCCAACATCTCCCAGCCACCATGATGATGAGAGAGACGCAGACTCCAAATACACAGCAGCAGGTCGGGATGGAACCCACGACCTCCTGAGAAACAGGCGAGGTAGTCAACATCTAGCCACCATGATGATGATGAGAAAGACGCAGACTCCAAGTATACAGCAGTAGGCATCGTCAGGGGTCAGGATCGAACCCACGACTTCCTGAGCACCAGGGGAGGTAGTTAACATCTCCTAGCCACCGTGATGATGATGATGAGAGAGATGCAAACTCCAAATATACAGCAGCAGGCATCGTCAGGGTCGGGATCGCACCCACGACCTCCTGTAGACCAGGCGAGGTAGTCAACATCTCCTAGCCACCGTGATGATGATGATGAGAGAGACGCAGACTCCAAATACACAGCAGCAGGTCGGGATGGAACCCACGACCTCCTGAGCATCAGGCGAGGTAGTCAACATCTCCTAGCCACCACGATGATGATGATGATGAGAAAGACGCAGACTCCAAATACACAGCAGCAGGTCGAGATGGAACCCACGACCTCCTGAGCACCAGGCGAGGTAGTCAACATCTCCTAGCCACCGTGGTGATGAGAGAGACGCAGACTCCAAATACACAGCAGCAGGTCGGGATGGAACCCACGACCTCCTGAGCACCAGGCGAGGTAGTCAACATCTCCTAGCCACCATGATGATGATGAGAGAGACGCAGACTCCAAATACACAGCAGCAGGTCGGGATGGAACTCACGACCTCCTGAGAACCAGGCGAGGTAGTCGACATCTCGTAGCCACCGTGATGATGATGAGAAAGACGCAGACTCCAAATACACAGCAGCAGGTCGGGATGGAACCCACGACCTCCTGAGCACCAGGCGAGGTAGTCAACATCTCCTAGCCACCACGATAATGATGAGAGAGACGCAGACTCCAAATAGACAGCAGCAGGTCGGGATGGAACCCACGACCTCCTGAGCACCAGGTGAGGTAATCAACATCTCCTAGCCACGGTGATGATGATGAGAGAGACGCAAACTCCAAATAGACAGCAGCAGGCATTGTCAGGGGTCGGGATCGAACCCACGACCTCCTGAGCACCAGGCAAGGTAGTTAACATCTCATAGCCACCGTGATGATGATGATGAGAGAGACGCAAACTCCAAATATACAGCAGCAGCAGCAGGCATCGTCAGGGTCGGGATCGCACCCACGACCTC